AAACCTGAGAAACACAATCATAGTTTATTCTAATCTGGACTCTGGCTGGGACAACTATTTAAAGCCTTTTTTCTACAGAGACGTTAACTAAAATTCCATGTATGTAATATCATTCTGCTAAGCAAGGAAAGACACAAAATAATTATTTCACAGGATGAATATAATGTAGAGTGTAATGATCAATGCATTTGTTTATAAAGTCACCTAATTAGAATACCTTTTTTCATTGTGTACTTTACATGTGTTGTTTTCCTCATTTTCCTAATTTCTTCACTCAGCCCCCACACTGCTCCATTTTCTGCTAAGCTTTGTCATAAAACAAATTGTCATTCCTGATTCTTGTGCCAGATGATCTAATAAGAGACTCATTCAAGGCCAGATTTTTAGCCTCAGCGAATTATTTGTGGAACATCATTAACTACTTTACTTGGTGCTGTAGTCTGTTAACAACAATGAATTGGCCATCATCCCTCTCCTTAGGAAATTTATAATCTGATAAGCTGAATTAACTGGGTCCTTCTGTCAGCAGAAGAATAACTGAATTTAGACTTACTTATTCAAATCATGAATGAGTTCTTTGTCCTTGTATGTTTTCATAGTACAAATTTTGTTTAACATCAAAAATTATTTAACCAGGGGCACCTGGGTGGCTCAGTTGGTTAAGCGTCTGCCTTTGGCTCAGGTCATGATCTCAGGGTCCCAGGACCGAGCCCCATGTCAGGCTCCCTGCTCCGAAGGGAGTCTTTTTCTCCCTCTCCCTCTACTGCTCCCCCTGCTTGTATTCTCTCACTCTGTCAAATAAATAAAATCTTAAAAAAAAATTATTTAACCATATTCATGGTCCTTCAGCCCATAAATGCTTAACAATAAAATTAAAGCTCTTGTATTTCCTAGACAGAAAAAAGAAGAGTGGACAGAGTTCACCTTCCATTCATTTAGATTCTATACTAATAGCTGTCTGACTATTGCCAGACTGTGCCAAGCCTGACATACCCAGCCCTTCAGAGTCAGGAATTTTTGAGTTGTAGGTGACGACAGAACCCCAATTCATGCTGGCCTGAGTGGGGGTGGGGGGTTGGAGGGAGGAGGTGAGGAATTTGTATAACTGAAAGTATTAGGCATGGCTGCCCTAAACTCGTTCACTTCTGGCTTCATTCTCAGGCAGGCTCTGGGAGGTGTGGCCACAGGTAACAAGATACTCCAAGCTCACATTGTCCTTCAGCGGCCTCAAAAGGACAAGTGCCTCTTCTCAGATAGATAGTTGGAGCAGAAAATACCACCTTGGCTTCTCACATGTCCATCCGTGAACAGTCACTAGTGTGGCCATATCCAGTCCCCTGTCAGTGGACATTTAGGCTGTTTTTAATCTTTTGCTAATTATCTACAGCATTATTCATATTAGAAAAAATATTTTTTCTACCCTACAGAAAAATATGAATTCTACTGAAAATGCCACTGTAAAAATGACATTTTAATTTTCTTAACTCTCATAAATCTGCTGGGTTTACTACAATTCTCAGTCTGTGTCCAGAAAAAATGAGTACCCAAATTTGCATCAGGCAAATGCAAATTAAAATCACAGTGAGACCTCTACCTCTGAAACCAATAATACATTATATGTTAATTAATTGAATTTAAATAAAAATAAATCAAAAATAAAATCACAGTGAGATGGGGTGCCTGGGTGGCTCAGTTGGTTGAGCATCCAACCCTTGATTTTGGCCCAGGTCATGATCTCAGGGTCATGAGATCCAGCCCCACGTTGGGCTCTATGCTGGGTGAGGAGTCTGCTGGAGAGTCCCTCTCTCTTTCCCTCTGCCACCCACCCCTACTGCTTACACTCACTCTTATCTCAAAAAAAAAAAAAAAAAATCACAGTGAGATACTACTAAATATAAACTAAGATGGCTATACTAAAAAAGATAGTGTTATTAGTTCAGATATGGAGAAATTTGAGTGGTCACACATGGCTGGTGCAGTCACTGGGGAAAATAGTCTGTCATATCCTCAAATAGTTAAACAAAGAATTACCATATGATCCAGCAGTTCTACTTCTAGGTATATCCAAGAGAAATGAAGACATATATCTACACAAAAACTTACACACAAATGTTCATAGCAGTATTATTCGTAAAGACAAAAAGGTGGAAAGAACCCAATTATCTGTCAACTGATGAATGGATAAGTAGACATATATAAATAAAATGTAAATGTAAATAAAATTGAATATTATTCAGTAATGAAAAGAAATTAAGTACTGATACATGTTACAACATAGATGAACCTTGAAAACATACTAAGTGAAAGAAGCCAGTCACAAAGAGCCATAAATTGTATAATTCCATTTATCTGAAATGTCCAGAACAGGCAAGTCGACAAAGACAGGAAGATCGGTGGTTGCCTATGGTTGGGGGTGGCATGCAGGGAGGGGACTGGGAGATGATGGTTAAGTGTGGGGTATTTTCTGGGGTAATGAAAACATTCTAAAATTGACTCTGGTGATAAATGCACAACTCTGAATATACGCTAAAAGCCAATGAATTGTCCACTTGAAATGAATGAGATGTAGTACATGAATTATATTTCAAGCTGTTAAACAAGAAGTATCTTAAAGACCATATTGACCTATTTTTGCTTTCAGTTCTTCCTACAACTTCAACAGGCAGCACTGGAGGTCTTTGCAGAGAATAACACCCTCAGTAAGTTGCAGCTGGGACAGCTAGCCTCGATGGAGAGTTCTGTCTTTGATGACATGATTAACCTGCTAGAACGTTTAAAGCATGACATGTTGACCCGCCAAGTAGACCACGTTTTTAGAGAAGTTAAAGAAGCTGCAAAATTGTATAAAAAAGAAAGGTAAGTCCTTTTGTATTTGCTGACAACTCAACTATCAAATCTAGTTTGCTAAAAATTGAATGATAAATACCTATTTTTCTCAAATTATTCCAAAAATTAGAAGAGGAAGGAAAACTTCCTAATTCATTCCATGAGGCCAGCATTACCCTGATACCAAAACCAGATAAAGCCACCACAAAAAAAGAATTACAGGCCAATCTCCCTGATGAATATAATGCAAAAATCCTCAACAAAATACTACCAAGCCAAACCCAACAGTCCATTCAAAAAAAAAATCATTCTCCATGATCAAGTGGGATTTATTCCTGGGTTGCAAGAGTAGTTCAATATTTGCAAATCAGTCAGCGTGACTCATTTACATCAGTAAGAGAAAGGATAACCATATAATCATTTCAATAGATGCAGAAAAAACATTTGACAAAGTATAACATCCATTCATGATAAAAACCCTCAACAAATTAGGTTTAGAGGGAGCATACCTCAACATAATAAAGGCCATATGTGAAAATCCCACAGTGAACATCATCCTCAGTGAGGAAAAACTGAGAGCCTTTACCCCTAAGGTCAGAACAAAACAGGGATGTCCACTCTCACCACTTTAATCAGCCTAATACTGGAAGTCCTAACCACACAGCAATCACACAACAAAAAGAAATAAAAGACATTCAGATCAGTAAGGAAGAAGTAAAATGTTAATTGTTGATGATATGATACTGTATATAGAAAACCTGAAAGACTCCACCAACAAACTGCTAGAACTAATAATTCAGTAAAGTCATAGAATACACAACGTACAAAAATCTGTTGCATTTCTATACACCAATAATAAAGAAGCAGAAAAATTAAGGAAACCATCCCATTTACAACTGTACCAAAACTAATAAGATAACCTAGGAATAAACCTAACTAAAGAGGTGAAAGACCTGTACTCTGAAAACTATAACATTGATGAAAGAAACTGAAGATGGCACAAAGAAATGGAAAGACATTCCCTGCTCATGGATTGGAAGAACAAACATTGTTAAAAAGTCTATGCTACCCAAAGCAATCTACACATTTAATGCAATCCCTATCAAAATACCAACAGCATTTTTCACAGAGCTAGAACAAACAATCCTAAAATTTGTTTGGAACCACAAAAGACTTCAAATAGCCAAAGCAATCTTGGAAAAAAAATAAAAAGCATAGCTGGAAGCATCATGATCCCAGACCTCAAATTACATTACAAAGCTGTAGACATCAAAACAGTACAGTAGTGACCCAAAAATAGACACCTAGATCATAGAACAGAATAGAAAATCCAGAAATAAATCCATGATTATATGGTCAATTAATCTTCCACAAAGCAGGAAAGAAAAATGGGAAGAAGACAGTCTCCTCAACAAATGGTGTTGGGAAAACTGGTCAGCAACATGCAAAACAATGAAACTAGACCACTTTCTTACACCATACACAAAAATAAATTCAAAATGGATTAAAGACCTAAATATGAGACCTGAAATCATAAAAATCCTAGAAGAAAACCATAGCAACATTTTTCTAGATAGGTCCCCTGAGGCAAGGGAAACAAAAGCAAAAAATAAGCTATTGGGACTTCATCAAAATAAAAAGCTTCTGTACAGCGAAGGAAACAGTTAAGAAAACTAAAAGGCAACCTACAGGATGGGAGAAGTTATATATCCAAAATACACATAGAACTTCTAAAACTCAACACCCAAAAAATAAATAGTCTAATTAAAAAATGGGCAGGGGTGCCAGGGTGGCTTAGTCAGTTGAGCGTCCGACTCTTTTTTTTTTAAAGATTTTATTTATTTGACAGAGAGAGACACAGCGAGAGAGGGAACACAAGCAGGGGGAGTGGGAGAGGGAGAAGCAGGCTTCCCGCCGAGCAGGGAGCCCGATGCGGGGCTCGATCCCAGGACCCTGGGAGCATGACCTGAGCCGAAGGCAGACGCTTAACGACTGAGCCACCCAGGCGCCCCAAATATATTTATTTTCTGAGACAGCTTTTCATGCTGGGCGGTACATCGTTTCTTATCCAAAGTGAACTTCCCCGAATTTGAAAGGATCTGTTAAACCTTTAAAAACACCACGTTTTGAAAATCTTTTAGTCACACTTAACGTGCCACAGGCCGTGCTGCTCTTGTGTCTCGCAGGTGGTTGTCCTTGCCGTCGCAGGCCGAGCAAGCGGTGATGTCCCTGTCCAGCTCGGCCTGCCCACTCCTGCTCACGCTCAGAGACCGCTCCCTTCAGCTGGAGCAGCAGCTCTGCTTCTCCTTGTTTAAAATTTTCTGGCAAATGCTTGTGGAGAAGCTGGATGTATACATCTACCAAGAAGTAAGTAAGAGCAGGTCGCACGTCAGGGCTGGGAGGATCCAGGCGACTGTTACAGGAACTGCTCTTTGTTTCAGATCATTCTCGCTAATCACTTCAATGAAGGAGGAGCGGCTCAGCTGCAGTTTGATATGACTCGGAATCTGTTCCCCTTGTTCTCCCACTATTGCAAGAGACCAGAAAATTATTTTAAACAGTAAGCTCAATATTTAACAGTGACTACTAAGCGTTTAGACGAGGTTGATTCCTTTTTTTTTTTTCTAACAAACAACTCTCCGGCTCCAGTGATGTTTGGTGGGATAAGTAGAGCATCAACTGCAATTTAAAAGCATGCAGTGTGCGCCCAGATAATCGAAGATGTGTTTCATGATTCCCCAAATTTATCAGAAATGGATCTAAATTACGTGTTGGGCTTTTTGTTGCTTGCGTTTGGTTTAATGCTCCTATTTGCCTGTTCTTGGAGAGAGAAAATGCGAACAAGTGCAGTTCTGCCACATTCAAGAAATAGAAGAAATTAAAAATATGCTTAGTACCTAATAGTAAGCCAGGCCTGAAGAAAATTTGTTTTCCTAAATATTTAGTATTAATTTTGGTTCTAAGCATAACTATAAATGTATGTACGAATAAGTCTTAGGAGTATTTTTAGAAATTGATTTAAAATTTAAATTATTGGGGGGAAGTTGAGATTATAAAGTATTCCTTTTAAAGTTATAAAATGAAAGATTTATTTTTGCTCATTTTATTGTTATCTGATTCTTTTTTTTTGTTTCTCTTTCCATATTCTAATCTAGCTAAAGTCTTAGCTACATTTAATAGGCTATTGTGTTAGTATCATTATTATATTTTGGGAAGTAATAGATAACATATTGAAAACAATGGTCCTGTTACATTATAGTAATCTATTAAATATAAACACTGTACAAATACATAGTCCTAATGTGTTAAAAGAGCCAAATAAGGAATCCATCAATACTTTTTACAGAAGGCATATGGACAGTGCCGGGAAGCTGTTTAGTTTTGAAAATATTGTGGAATAATGTGGATGATACAGATAATGGATATCTCATTTCCCTCCTACTTTTTTTTTTTAAACAGTGTAAAAGAAGCCTGTATTGTTTTGAACCTAAACGTTGGTTCTGCCCTACTTCTGAAAGATGTCCTCCAGTCTGCTTCAGGGAAGCCTCCTGCCACAGAGGCATTAAATGAAGTTGGAATTTACAAATTGGCTCAACAAGATGTTGAGATTCTACTTAATTTGAGGACAAACTGGCCTAACACTGGAAAATAATGCATCCATTTTTGTTTTGGAGTTTTTGTTTTTAACAAAGAGGAAGCCAATTGGATTTCAAGTTATATGATGACATTCTGAATTAATGAAACTGGACAATTGAAAACTTTATAGAACCATTTATCATCTTGGACTTATGGTGTTATTAAAATGCTGACCATATTTTCTCAGTCCTCTTCTTCCTAAGAAACCAAAAACAGAAAACTCAGAAGCCAGGAAAACTCAGAGTAATTTCATTTACAAATATAAATGCTAAGTAGGTCTGTTGAATAAGATACAAGAGCAGAGATAATAAATTAAGAATTTTCAATTTCCTATGCTAATTAAGGGAGACTATTGTAGATAATCAAACGTAGCAAATAAATTTTTAAAACATCAATTTAGAATGCATGTTTATAATTGAAGTTCCTGTATTTGGTTTGGAAATTCACTCTATTTCCTGTAAGAAAACATATGAGATGGTGACTAAAACAGAATTGCTCTCATTTTCCACAAATGTCCTTACATTTAAAATCCTTCCTAGGAGCGCCTAGGTGGCTCAGTTGGGTGAGTGTCAGACCCTAGGTTTCAGCTTAGGTCATGATCTCAGGGTCGTGGGATCAAGCCCCATGCACTGGCCTCCATGGTCAGTGGGGAGTCTGCTGGAGATTCTCGCTCTCTTTTATGCCCCCCACTCTTGTATGCACTATTCACTCTCGCTCTCATAAAGAAATCTTTATAAATGAATGAATGAATGAATGAATAAATAAATGCCCTTCCTAGTTCCATTCCATATGACAGTAGGCAGCCTTTCCGTTTGGATGAAACATTTCAGGCCAGAGCGCTGTGTTTGTCTTTCCCCTGGGGTAGGGATGGAAACTAAACAGTTTTTGTTTAATATTTATGTAAGTGAGAATGAGATGGAAATCTTTAACTTTTTTTTTCTTCCGACTTTTCCCTGGCTCTGGACTCTGTTACATAATGATTTCTTGATTAATACTCAGAGAACAAAATAAAGGAATTGAGTTCCATTGGTTAGAAGCCTTCTACAACTATCAAATTTTATTCTTTTTTTTTTTTTCTGACTTAGCATTTAGTTAGTACTTTTCAAGCTGTAATACCTCAAATCTAAAATTGTTGGGCTGGCATGCAACCCATACTGTTTTGTTTTTGTTTTTGTTTTAAGTAAGCTCTGCGCCCAACGTGGGGCTTGAACTCATGACCCTGAGATCAAGAGTCTCATTCTCTACTGACTGAGCCAGCCAGGCGCTCACAACCTATACTATCAATAAACATTTACTTGGTGATAAATAACTTTGAGGAAATACTCTGAGAGAACTTCTATTGCTCCGTATTTTATAGAGAGATTTTCCAACTAGTGTATTGGGAACAAAGCTTTTCTATTAGTTCTAGCAGACTGGAGCTTCTCTCCCACATTCTTTGAGAACTGCTGGGCTTTCCCATTGAGAAAAGAATTAATCTGCCCCAGGAACTTCCTAATTCCAGACTTGACTGTCATTCCTTGCTTTCTAGATAGCTAAAAGTTTCAAGGGAATGAAATGTTTCTGTCAAAAGGTAGGAACTTCTGTTTTAAATTATATTACTTGTACTTCAAAGTCATGTCATGTCATTTAAATAGCAGACATGTAAAAATAAACTTACACTTCAGATCTGAATTTTTCCAAAGTTATTACATGTCCATCATCTTTTAAAACTTCATCTTCATTCAACAGACCCAGGGTTTTTAGGCCTGTAAAATCAGAATGAGAAGAAGGGAAAATTTTTGCAGCGAGCATTATTTTCTACTAGGGCAAGTTAAGAAATGAGCACAAACTGTTAGTTCAGTGCGTAGAGGATAATGACCTTCTTTGTACTGCACAAATGATATAGTGCCTTTATTTGAAGTGTCCATCATCTCAAACATAGACACAATGTTAGAGTGATCCATAAAGAAAGGAAAAGCCACGCCTGTTATTTTGGCAATTCTCAGTTGTTCCAATAGAGATATTAAATACTCTCTTGGCTTTTCTGTAAAAGAATAGTTCCAATTCTTTCTGATATAAAATTAAGATATATCACAAATGGAAACAATCATTTAACAATTATTAAATAACTATGTTCAAAGTACTGTACTAGGCACTGGGGTCATAGACCTTGCTTACAAGAAAAACAAGACATTAGACAATTACATATATAAAGCACTCTACCCCAGATATGGGACCTGAGCATTTTTTAAAAAAGCTCCTCAGGTGATTCTAATTCACAAACAAGCATCGAAAACCAAAAAAAAAAAAAAAACACAACATGATGCATGGAAGAAGGTAGCCAGCTAAAAGGGATAAAATATAAATAAAAACAGAGACTCTTAGGGGCACCTGGGTGGCTCAGTTGGTTAATCGTCTGCCTTCGACTCAGGTCATGATCCAGGGGTCCCGGAATCGAGCCCCGCATCCGGCTCCCTGCTCGGCAGGGAGCCTGCTTTTTCCTTTTCTCCGAACTCTTGCTCTCTCTCTCCCAATCTGTCTCTCTGTCTCTCTGTCTCAAATAAATAAATAAAATCTTAAAAAAAGACTCTTAGATTAATATAGTCTTCCAATTAGGAGGCATGAATGTTCACTTCTAACATAAAAGCAGTATTTTGGATAAGTAGGATGTCTTTCATTTAAGCAACATGGAAGATGAAAAAAGAAGATCCACTTTCCAGAAATAATGCAGGTCAGTTATGATGAAAAGAAGCCAAAAGAATATGGAGCAGCTTAGATGATGACTGCCCCTCACTACACACAGACACAGACAGACACACACACACACTGTGATTATATATTTCTTTTAAAAACTTTTCTTGATGGGTCGCCTGGGTGGCTCAATTGGTTAAGCGTCTGCCTTCGGCTCAGGTCATGATCCAGGGGTCCTGGGATCGAGCCCCCGTGTCGGGCTCCCTGCTTAGTGGGGAGCCTGCTTCTCCCTCTCCCACTCCCTGCCGCTCCTCCTGCTTGTGCTCTCTCTCTGTCAAATAAATAAATAAAAACTTAAAAAAAAAAGACTTTTTCTTGAGAATTTCATAAATATATAAAAGTAGGAAAGTATAATGAACCCATCAACCAACTTTAACTGTTAAAATTTGTGGCCAGTCTCACTTCACCATCATCTCATCCAGGTCCCCTCTTCCTGTATCATTTTGAAGTCAGTTACAGTGATAATATTTCATTAATAAATATTTGAGCATGTATCTCTAAAAGATAAGGACTTCTTTTGAGATACAACTGACATGTAGCATTGTGTGATACATGTAATTACATAACATGTTGATTTGATACATTTATAGTTTGCAATATGACTGTCACTGTAGTATTAGCTACACCTTTATCACATCACATAATTATCATTTCTTTTTTGGGCCAGGAATAATTAAGATCTAGTCTCTCGGCAAGGTTAATGTTTATTATACAGTAATACCTTCTGTGAGCACTATGCCGTGCATTCGATTTCCAAGACTGACCTACAAGTTGCAGGTACATACCCCTAAACAACAGCTCTCCTACTCCCCCACCACTCACCATTCCACTCTGTTTTTACAACTGGCTTTTTTAGATTCCCCATATAAGTGATATCATGCAGTATTTGTCTTTCTCTCACTTAGCTCACTTAGCATATCCTCAAGGGGCATCCATGTTGCAAATGGCGGGATTTCCTTCTTTCTCATGGCTGAATAATATTCCATTGTATAAATATACCACATCTTCATTATTCATTCATCTGTAGACAGACACTTAGGCTGTTTCCATATCTTGGCTATCGTTAATTATGCAGCAATAAACATGAGAGCGCAGATCTCTCTTTCAGATCCTGTTTTCATTTCCTTTGGATATATACCCAGAAGTGGAATTGCTTGGGCATACGGTAGTTCTGATTTTATTGTTTTTTTTGAGGAACCTCCATTCTGTTTTCCACAGCAGCTGCACCAATTTACATTCCCACCAACAGTGCACAAGGGTTCCTTTATCTCCACATTCTTACTAGTTATCTTTGCCTCTTTGATACTAGCCATTCTAACACATGTGAGGTGGAATCTCATTTTGGTTTTGATTTGCATTTCCCTGATGATTAGTGATGTTAAACATCTTTTTTTTTTTTTTTTTAAAGATTTTATTTATTTATTTGACAGAGAGAGAGACAGAGAGGGAACACAAGCAGGGGGAGTGGGAGAGGGAGAAGCAGGCTCCCTGCCGAGCAGGGAGCCCGATGCGGGGCTCCATCCCAGGACCCTGAGATCATGACCCGAGCCGAAGGCAGTTGCTCAACCAACTGAGCCACCCAGGCGCCCCGATGTTAAACATCTTTTAATGTACCCGCAGGCCACTGTATATCTTCTTTGAAAAATGTCTATTTAGTTCCTCTGCCCATTTTTTTTAGTTTATTTTTTTTTTAGTAATCTCTACACCCAACATGGGGCTCAAACTCATGACCCCAAGATCAAGAGTCCCGTGCTCTCTTGACTGAGCCAGCCAAGCACCCCGCCTTGCCCATTTTTAAATCAGATTTTTTCTATTGAGTTGTAGGAGTTCTTTATACATTTTAGATCTTAACTGACATATAGTTTGCAAATATTTTCTCCCATTCTATAGGTTGGCTTTTCATTTTGTTGATTCTTTCTTTGGTGGTACAGAAGCTTTTAAGCTTGATGTAGTCCCAGTTGTTGATTTTTTTGTTTTGTTGTTTGTGCTTTTGGTGTCATATCTGAAAAATCATTGCCAGGACCGTGTCAGGGAGCTTCTTTCCTGTGTTTTCTTCTAGAAGTCTTATGGTATCAGGTTGTCTCACAAATTTTATGAATTGTGAACACTTTTTAAAAATAAAAAAGGAGGGGCGCCTGGGTGGCATCTGACTTCAGCTCAGGTCATGATCTCAGGGTCCTGGGATCAAGTCCCACGTCTGGCTCCGTGTTCAGCAGGGAGTCTGCTTCTCTCCCTCTCCCTCTCCCCCTTCCCCCTGCTCATGCACTGTCTCTCTCTCTCTCTCAAATAAATAAAGTCTTAAAAAAATAGTAAAGAAAATTTAAAAAGTAAATTTCAACACTTATTGGGCGCTTGGGTGGCTCAGTTGGTTAGGCGACTGCCTTCGGCTCAGGTCATGATCCTGGAGTCCCCGGGATCGAGTCCCGCATCAGGCTCCCTGCTCAGCAGGGAGTCTGCCTCTCCCGCTGACCCTCTTCCCTCTTGTGCTCTCTATCTCTCATTCTCTCTCTCAAATAAATAAATAAAATCTTAAAAAAACAATTTCAACACTTATTCAAGTAACATCCACACATTGTGATTATGTTTTTAGATCTCTCTTGTGTCTTTCTGTACAAATTTTAACAGACTATAGAAACAAATGGGTTACTCAAGGCAATCACATCATGTATGTAGTCTTCTGTTGCTTCTCTCTGACCTATTTATCAAATTCAGAAAGAGAAAAAAGGCTAAGTTTGAATTTCAATTCACTACTTTTCTTTTTAAGGATGGAGTAAGTAAATAATGGTAATAGAACTTGGTGTGTTTCTCTGATGAAGGATTTTTACTGTATATCCTTTAGACTATATGGGATGCTATAATGTTTATGTCTGAAGTCTATAATTCATACTTTGCCTGCTTCTAAAAATGTTTTTAAAATGCTTACAACAGAAATAATAAAGATATTAACTTTAAAGAGGGGCGCCTGGTGGCTCAGTTGGTTGGGCATCTTCCTTTGGCTCAGGTCATGATCCCAGGGTCCTGGGATGGGAGTCCCACATCGGGCTCCTTGGTCAGTGGGGAGACTGCTTCTCCCTCTCCCTCTGCTGCTTCCCTTGCTTGTGTGCTCTCTGTCTCTCTCAAAAAATAAATTAAATTTAAAAAAGATATTACCTTTACAGAAATATTTTATTTTTAAGTAATCTCTCTACCCAACATGGGGATTGAACTCACAACCCCGAGAACAAGAATTGCATGCTCCACTGACTGGGGCAACCAGCCGCCCCTAAAGATATAACTTTTTAAAACATGAAGTGGGGTGCCTGGCTGGATCAGTTGGTTGAGCATCCGACTCTTGGTTTTGGCTCAGGTCATGATCTCAGGGTCCTGGGATCGAGTGCTGTGTCAGGCTCTGCACTGGACTTGGGAGTCGGCTTGAGATTCTTTCTCTTCCCTCCCCCCTCAATTGTGCACTCTCTCTCTCTCTCGAATAAATAAATCTTTAAAAAAAAATTAGGGCGCCTGGGTGGCTCAGTCGGTTGGGCATCTGCCTTCGGCTCAGGTCATGATCCCGGGGACCTGGGATGGAGCCCCGAGACTGACTCCCTGCTCAATGGGGAGCCTGTTTCTCCCTCTCACTCTGCCTCTCCCCCCTCAATTGTGCACTCTCTCTCTCTCTGTCTCTCTCTCTGTCAAATAAATAAATAAAATCTTAAAAAAAGACTCTTAGATTAATATAGTCTTCCAATTAGGAGGCATGAATGTTCACTTCTAACATAAAAGCAGT